AAATTTACTACCCCGTTTATCCGAATTAATTTATGACTCTAATAATAACTTCGGATTACAAAAAAACCCCGTTAATCCGAAACCCTGTTAATCCGAAGAAAAGTCCCTGCACAATTGCCTTCGTTTAACGGGGTTGCCTATGTAGATAGATTGCATGTGGTGGTCTAAAACGCCACGCATCACAACATATTTATTTGCGTTATTGAACAATTCAAAAAAATTATTTATGCGTGGCAGCCTAAACGTTACGTTTATTTATGCGTGCGCGCCATTCTAAACATTAGGACACGTGAACGCAACGTTTTTAATATAATAGATATAAGATGTAGAAGATAGATAATAAAATTAGTGTAACATTTTGAAGCACAAACCTCAAGACCAATAAAATCATTTCGACTATTTTGACTATTACTATCCAAAATCGTTTTGACTATCCAAAATCATTTTGACTATCCAAAATCATTTCGACTATCCAAATCATTTCGACTATTTATCAAAAAGTCGAAATTATTTTTAACCATTTCGACTTCATTATTACTTATTATTATAAAATTAGGCTATCCAAAAAAGGCAAGGATCATTATTATCTGTAATATCAAAAATATCTGATAAACCAAATATTAATATATAGTAATAATGTTGAAATTCGTGTCACCCTTAAAAATATTTCTAATATTAATATATAAAAATTTTGAAGAAAAAAATTATGCACATTTTTATTGTAAAGAAAATAATTTGTTTTTTTTTTAAATATATATAAATGAAAAGTTTTTGTTCTTATTTTTAAATATACATTATATATCAAATTTTTTATTTTTATGATAAGTTACGTCCTTAAATACATCTTTTTATTTTTAAGCATATATACATTATATATAAATTAAGTTTCATTCAAATTTTTTATTTTTATGATAAGTTACATTCTTAAATATATATTTTTTATATATACATTATATATAAACTAAGTTTCATTCAAATTTTTTATTTTTATGATAAGTTACATTCTTAAATATATCTTTTATATATACATTATATATAAACTAAGTTTCATTCGGATTTTTTATTTTTATGATAAGTTACATTCTTAAATATATCTTTTATTTTTAAGTATATATATAAAAAAAGTTCTTAAATACATCTTTCATTTTTAAATATAAATATATATATATATAAACAATAAGTTTCATTCTTAAATATATATCTTCTATTTCTATATATATATAAACAATAAGTTACATTAATAACCACCTTCATATAATTCTTTACAAAAAATTAGACATTAATAACCATCCTCGTATAATTCTTTACACAACACTAGACAATAAGTTACATCGATAACCATCCTTGTATAATTCTTTACACAAAATTAAACAATAAGTTATATTAATAACCATCCTCGTATAATTCTTTACACAAAATTAAAAATAAATTTTTTAAGATGGACAATGACAATATTTCAAGTGAATACTCAGAAGACATAACACAAATTGAAGAAGGTAGTGACAAAAAATCTAAAACTGGAAGAAACAAATCAATTGTTTGGAAATATTATTCTTCTAATAACATCATCAAGAATGGTCATATAGAATGTATATGCAAATCATGTGGCTGGAAGAGAAAGGTGGGGAAAGCCCATGAAATGATAGACCATTTAGCTTTACATTGTCCGAAAGTAGATGCAGACACAAAATTAATTTTTTTAGAAGAAATAAAAAACTGAAAATCACTCAATCACTCTTTGGTGGATTTTAACGAAAGGCAATCAAAAAAATTAAAAATGTCAAAACAGTCAAAATTGACTTCAATTTTTGACAGTGACAAAATTGATGGTGGTAAAGAGAAAAGATGCAACCAAGCATTAACTAGATTTTTTGTATGTTGTGGAATCCCACTTCAAACTGTATCAAATCCTTTTTTTGTTGATTTCATCAAAAATCTTTGTCCAGGTTACAAACTACCAAATAGAAATACTTTCTCAAGCTCCTGGATTAATCAGGAATTAGCCAATATCACAAGCATAATCCTTGAAGATATAAAATCCTCAAACAATATCACCCTAGGTTGGAAATTATTTTTTAATTGATTATTTGTTAACTTGCTGATTGTTTTAAAAAAAATTCTATTTTTAAATTTCAGGGTTAGATGGATGGAGTGACTCATCTGGAAAGTCAATTTATGCATTCATTTTAACTCTTCCATCTAAGAAAGAGTATGTGTATTCATTAGAAGATTTGTCTCTCCACTCTCACACTGCTGATTACATGTCTAAAAAAATATTGAATATTATTGAAGAGTTGGGTCCTGAAAAATTTTCTTCAATTGTATCGGACAACGCATCATCAATGGTTGCTGCAAAAAAAATAGTAAACCAAAAATACAACCATATTATTCCTATCAGATGTATTACACACCATATCAATTTACTAACAACGGATATTATGCAACATGAATTTTCTAAAAAAACCATCAAAAATTGTATGAAATTAGTTTCTTTTTTTCGAAAATCACATCAAGCAGGAAGTATGTTGTCAAAGGATATAATGGAAAACATTATTGCAGGTGGTGGTCTCAAGGGATTTTCCAAAACTAGATGGACCACTGCCTGGCAATGTCTTGCATCAATCCAAAGATGCAAAAGTTCTTTACGCAATGTATGATAAAGTTTTCTTCTTAATTTCAATAAATTCACCATAATAATAATTCTCTTTTTATTTTTAGATCTTGGAAAAAAACCCTGAAATTTTAAATAATTCTATTAAAAATCTACTTGGAAATAGATTCTTTTTTCAAGATGTTGAGGAACTTATCAAGATAATCGAACCAATTAAAGAGACAATAATTTCATTAGAGTTTAAGACTGCATCATTAACAGATTGTTTTATTCGTTTAATAAAACTTGGGATGGCTGTGAAAAACTATCCAACCATAGTAGATCACTCCTTTTGTTCGTTTTGTATCGAAAAATTCAATAAAAGGTGGAAGCAGTTTGATTTTAAAATTTATTTACTTGGCTATTTTTTTCACCCTTTTTATAGAGGTAAGATATTTAAAAAATTTATTTATTCATTTTTTCCTTAATAGTGACATAATAAATACTATCTTTTTCATAGGAAAAGGCCTTAAAATTGACATTTTTAGGCAAATATGTCATACAGCAATTAATTTTTGGATTGAAATGGGTGGAGGTAAAAATTCAGCTAGCCAATTAGTTGCCCAACTTTCAGCATATAAAAACTATACAAAACCATATGAATTTGAATTTGTACATGATTTACATACTATAGAAAGTTGGTGGAACATGATTGAACAAAAAGATAATTGGATCCAAAAATTAGCTCTAAAAATTCTTTTTATAACACCACACAATGTGGGTTGTGAAGGTTATTTTCTATCTTAGGTTGGATGTGCTCAAAACGTCGTAAAAGGTGATTATTTTTATGTTTCTTCAATTAATCAAATTATAATTTT